CCCCTCCCCCTTTATTCAACATGAATAAATTAGTCGCTTGAAAATGATCGGCAGCTTGAAAGGAATAGACTACCAGGGGTTTCAATAATATTAGTTATAAACGGCCACTGAAGGTGTAATAGGCGGTTGTGACCACTAAAGGGGCCGTAAGGGCCGATTTACATGGTACTACTTTGTCGCATGCGACAAGTTTACGACAGGCCTACGACATGAATTGTTTCGTGTAAATCAAACCTACAACTCGCTTACGACTGTTGTGTACGTCAAAAAAATTGTCGTAGGTATTTTAAAACAGGTTTTAAAACGCTGCGACAATCGTAGCCGAAATCGATAGAAAATCACGTATTGTGACAAATTTCTACTGAGTAGGGGACGAAGGAAAAGTTTTCTTGCGTCAAAATGGCGGACGAAGTTGTTGTTGACTGATTCACATGAAGATCGTTTCTCGAAAAGTATTGAACGGGTTAAAGCGAAAAACATCTCGTTAGAAAGTTTTTTCAAAGCGCAGGACAGCTAAAATATTTGTTTACCGTTTGTTAGAACTTTCGCTCCGTAAATCCCGGTGCAAACTTTTGCATATTTAATTTTGTGAGTGTGATAATGTCGTGCGCGTGTAAATGGTCCTAAGTCATGTCGTAGGCCTGTCGTAAGCTTGTCGCATGCGTCAAAGTCGTACCGTGTAAATCGGTCCTAAGAGACTTCATGGGGTTTGAGGGGCTNCCCCCCCCCCAGAAAAAATTGAAGTCTACAAGCTCGGAAATGCGATTTCCAGCGTTCTGGACATCAAAAAGCGTGCTGCTGATGGGTATTTTTATGGACCACAAAGCAGGATTTTTTTTTTTCACAAACTATTAATTTTTTGATGCAAAGAGGTGCATTTTGAATACCTTTCTAGGCAGACATCTCTCAGTGACACTTGATATCCACTTAGGCAGGTAATCAATCCAAAGAAATGATAACATTACTCCTCAGTACCGGTTGACGAAGACTGGTTCTCGTCAACCTGTATATGATCTTAACATGTTCTTAAAATTCGTTTCAGAAATACTACGCATTATACATTACTAGAAGTTTAATAGCTCAGCATGATCCCCACTAAAAACACCCAGGTAACAGCATCTTAGCAAAATGGTGTCAACTGTTGTATTACCACAGTCCCATCTTTCCTGTCAGGTACTGTATAGATCCAGCACACCATAGTACTTTAATATGAGTGCATTCTTATTCTGGCATCCTCTTTCTTTTTACATAAGAGCATGTTTTATGTATCAGGCTGAACTGGTTCTTATATGTATGGTGCTTTATTGGCCAACTTTCAGTCTGTTCTTAATCCACTTGTTCTTATATGCGCTTGATTACCGTATCTGCGGCCAGCAACTATGGTTTGTCTTTTTGCAACTGATCTATAGATCCCAACAAATATCCCCAGTTTGCTTTCAAAGCTAACCTTTACACTGGCGCAGATCACCTTATGTCTATCCCATGTTTTCCTATAGGAGAACGCCACAATCATCCTCGATGACGGGTTCACCTGAAGATTTATCCTCTCTCAAGACAGCTGGTGAGTAATATATCAGAGGTTTCTTACGACATCAGCTTTCTTGTGTGTAAACAATTATTATGTGCAGCATGACTAATTTCTATCTCATCAATTGTCTTTTTTTCAGATCACTATCGCTTTTTGGCAAAGAATTATGATTACTTCTACAAGGAGACCAAGGAAGCTGAAACTAATGTCTTGTTGAAGTACTTCAATGTACAACCTCACCACACTGTCGTAGACATTGGTAGTGGAACGGGCTTTTTAGCAGAGCGACTTTTCGAGAGGTCCGAGCTGAAAAACCCCGTTTGGTGTGTGGATCCAAGCGCAGAAATGCAAGAAGAAGCCAAGAAAAAGAAAGGCGTGTTCCCCGTACAGAAACCTGCCGATGAGTTCCTGGATGAATCGGCCCTAGACCAGTGCTTCGACAGAGCGATGTGTATTGCTACGCCTCACCATTTTGCCGATGCTGTGAAAATCTACAGGGGTGTAGAATCCATTCTATCTCCCGGTGGTGTGTTTTTGGTCATGGAAGCCCGCGGATTTACATTTCCTTGGTTTACGAAAGTAGAGAATCGCATGGGAACTTTCTTTGGTGAGCGAAAAGAGATCACCTCGGCATGCCTGCGATTAACGAAATTTGATGTGGAAGTCACGGAAGAGAACATCGACTTCAAGGTGACGAAATCTAAGTGGTACCACATGCTGCGGGGACGCTTCAACAGTAATTTAACGGAGTTTACTGATCAGGAAATTGAAGAAGGAATTGATGAACTGGAGAGAGGAAAGCTCGAAGATTTGAAACCCCAAGATGATATCAGCATTTCTTGCACGTTGCTCGTATTTATAGCTAGAAAGAAAAGTAACTCGACAGTGAATGTTTGACTGATCAATCAGTATTGAGGCTACGACTTTCTTTAGCAGTACAACAAGCCTCGTGTTAGACTCTACAGTTTTTGAAGTCTGGCAAAGTAGCTTCTGGTATTTTGGCGTAGTCATTAGCAAATTAGGCTAAGTAGATTCTTAATTACGTTTTTAAAATGTCTATGAAGGAGATATACTAGGCTAAGCGGTTGGTTAAAAACAAACACTCGCGCCACTTTGTCACCCGACCAAAACTAATCGTGACTCGCTCGAAATTGGTTTGGCTGTCTGTGACTCAATCAGTATTAAGCTGACGGATTAGTTATTAGCTCACCAAACAAATATTACTAATACCCTTGAAAACTCGTGACTCCTGAGATCTTCACCCCATGCTCATCTCCGGCCTGCAGCCAATCCGTCCAAAACCTTATTTGCAGATGGAAAGCAAAGTTCTCTTCAATCTATAGTTTGGGGAAACTATTCCAACCCCATTTTAAAAGTGTTTAATATTGGGGAGTGCGAATAAACCTTTGTAACTACATGATGATATTGCACTTTCTCTATCGCTGCTCGCATTTATAGACTTTATAGCTAGAAAGAAAATTGACGCCGCAGTAAACGTTTGATCGACCAGTTGGTAATGAGGTAGCTCTGAGGTAACAATAGTTATAGTAATATCAGTAATAAAAAACGCATTTATATACATTTTTACAAGAGGTCTCAAAGCTGAAAAATGCGTGGAGCAAAAATTAAATGTATCAGTCCAAAGACTGGAGATTAAGTTTGTAAGGGCTTCAAAAAGCTATATTAGAATTTCTTCCATTTCTTAGCTTTAGTAAGTCAAACCTTGCTGTCAAAATTCAATCCATTCTAAGTACCTCCAAGTTTGAGTAGCGGGCGCTTGGTGGATGTAAAAAAGAACCGCGATAATTGCTAAACGTCCTAGGTCAATTCAGTCCGTCAATTCATGTCGGCCGATAGGTCATCAGTCAACCGACATGAGACGCGAATTAAAAAGGAATTAACATTGCACACTTGACGGACAAAATTGCAATTTTTTTTTCTTTTGACAAGACAAACCATAAAGGTTGTATGCACTTGTATACATCCTTTCTCCAACATAAACCTCCACAGCTATTGAAATTCGTGACGCATGATTCTGTCCGCCTCACGGAGCATGCGTGTCAAGAGCTGTCGACGGGCGTGGTTCCTGGATCATGCTGCGGTCTTCTCGGTTGATTCCTGGTCAGCCATTTACTCAATGAACCCATTACTGAATGCTCCTCTTCCTTGAAGTGTGTCACAAGACCTTGCTGTTGAATCAAATTGGAGAGAAACTTAACGGGGTTCAGAGAAAATATGTTAATAAATCGCTTCTAGTTGGAATTTCTTCAAAGTCGATTTCCTTACTAGTAATTCCTCGTGACAAACAACTGCCAGTCTTCCGATGAACGCCGGCTTAAACCTAAAAAAAATTCCCTTCCCGATTTTCTAAATCAACGAAGGAAAACTTGAATTAAAAGGGACATTCTTTGCTAGAGTAGAAGGTTAAGCAAGGGACTTCTGCGTGAACGTGTTAATGAGAACGTTCTCGTCACGTATACATTACGTATGTAGCATGAACCTGAACATAGCCCGCAAACGATCACAAAAGAACGTAAAGACTGTGTTAAACAGAGATTGAGATTGTTTAGAACAAATGTGTGACTCAATAGGTGACCTACGCACCCCTCCCCAGCAGTGCTACGCCACACTGCCTCTATTGACACCTACCAACCGTGACTGAAGTTTGTTTCGTTGTGCAAACATGACATGAATGAAAGCAATTATCGGTTGTTTTTAGAGTATTTTGAAGACACTCTGTTGATATTGACGGTACACATCGACACGAGGCAGGCATTATTACTTGGTCTTGAGTATGCGGCAACTTCTAGTTTCCTCTAAGCAAGCTTTTTTTTCGCAGTTTATAAATCACAAGATAAAAATAAACCGGCATTCCGACCGGGCTGGTAACTGATACTTCAAACAAAGATATTTCAGGTCGCGGCCTGCAACACGTAACAAGTATTAAAGCAAATGAAATGAACTAAAATATTACCATCAGTGAAACCACTTGAGATCTTTATATAGGCGATAGTTAATAACTTCAATTGATAGGGTAGAAAATAAACTTTGGTTCAATCCTCATGATCACTCACCCATCCTCCATTCTGTCTGATCCACGGACTCAAGCGTTTCGCGGAGAAATGTCCCATCCAAATCGACATGCTGCGTATGAATCTAGTGTCTCCCGTCTGCGTAAAATCGTAAGCCAGGGCTCCGGCGAACGCGTAAACAGCGACAATACGCGACCAGCTCACCCCAGAAACAACGATTTGCTCAGAGACACGATTGAACATATTGCACACGAGGATGGCAAGATTTACGCGGTAGTTAAGCTGATCCAGAACGTTGTTATAGAGCTTTGGATAGCTTTGCTCCAGTAATGCGCCTACCTCGCACAAGGTCTGTACCACATCTTCGGGGCACCCAGCTAAAGATTGCCCATCTTTCTTCCGGCTTCTCGGATTGAAGTAGCATAAATTTGAGCGCGTGAATCTGGCTTCGATGTATTTCTGGCACAGAAAAGCTGCCTGTTCTGAAATTTCAATTTCTTCCGCCGAACCACTGGGTTTCCGTCCTTTTATCGTCTTTGGAAATAGATAAAAACTGATAGTTCCCCAAGCACGAACCAAAAAGCTCCAAATGGTTTTAAGCGGCATCGTAGATCACTAGAGTTGCACGCGTACGCGTGTAAATAGAGAACTCGTGTCGGTCAAAACAAACGATTAGCTGTCGAAGATGATTGCAATGAATATTTACCGGACCACTTCAAATTAACATATTAATGACACCGACTTTTTGTCCCTGTCTTACTTTTTATCTTTCTTTCCCAGGAGAGCCAGAAGGAGCAAGAAGGTAAAACATCTAGGCTACAAAGGGTAAAACCCACCAGGGATAAAAATAAAAAATAAAAAAATAACGCGAAATCCCATTAAAAAAGATAGGAAAAAGAAACGAAAAAAAAAAAAAGAAACGAGGGCCACACGCGTGCAATATACAAAGACTGTTGCGACCAAAGCTAATGGAATCTAAGATGCGGGAACATGTAAGCAGTTCTTTGACTTGTGCTGCTGCGAGATAAATGAATTATTATTAACAATTCGTAATTGAATCCAAAGCGGATTCACAGGATATACGCTTTTTTTTTAACATTTGAATGGTACACAGCTAAGCATGTTACCAATAATGCCACGTGAATATGTAATTTATTATTGATATTATGGACGTTTTCTATTTTTCCTGATAGACTGGAGTGACTCTGTAGTGCGCCTTACCGCATAAGATCGTGTGGTTCTTTCTTTGATATTGTCACGCAACGTACCACATTTTGCGCAGAATGGCTGTCTGGTGGGGTCACGTTTCTCTGCTGTTTTAGGTTATCTGCAGTGTTTTTAAAGCTCTGTAAGTTTAGCTGCGTTGTAAAACGTTTATCTGTTCGGTCATTCTAGGTGAACTTTGTATTCTCGAATTCATTAGGGTTTTTGTCCATTTCCCGAAAACCTTAGGTCTTATTACCTTCCCGAAAATCATATTTGTGAAAACGACACTTTTATTAATCCGAAAACACTGAAGCACTCGTAGGTTCTCATAACACGAAAGTTCGGGGTGACAATTCCCTTAAGAAAATCGGAAAGGATTAATAAAGACCGTACCGAACAGAAAACGATGCGATGGGTGCCCCTGGTTTCTACTGTTGCTCCTTCCCTGCCTCAAAGCACTGTCGATTTGCGCCCGAGTAGCAAACCGCGAGTTACGAGCTAGAAAAAGCGTAGCAGTCTCTTTCGCTAATGGCGCAAGACCCACACAGGAAAGCATCTTGCTGGGTTTGTTTCCTGCATGAGCCAACAGACCGCGGCTTAGTTTGCTGACAAGCACAGGCTGAATATACACACGTTTCTCCTCACGTTCGGAGAGTGACGTTTGTTACTCAGGTGAGTTAATAAAGACTGATTTTACCATTGCTTTAATTCACTTTTTCAAGAAGCATAAATGCCTTTTTAAAAAGTTCACAATTTTTATGCCTGAACCAAGACCGCAGACGAATCAATGCATAACGATTCTTCAATCAGAAGTAACATGCCCTTTAGCTCGTGCGTCAAACCATCTGATATTTGGGAATTCTGTTATAATATTCCTGAAATACCCGAATAGAGAACATGATTCAGTTAAAAATACCCTGATTCAAATTGCACCCTCTGTTGTAGATCGGAGAAAAGCGATTTAGTTCCGGCTAACACAAAAAGTTGTGCTTCGGCCGGAGACAAATATTCTTCCAAAAATATCATCTTTGTAAAAAAAAAAAACACCCAGGTTACTTAAATGTATAAAAAAATACTAACTACTCTGTCATGGTTTCATGACGTGGTCAATGCAGGGTTTGGAAGTAGATAAACCTTGATAACATGATTCATCCCGTGAAATGATTTCCAAGCTATCAATTCGATTTTTTTAAAAAATTAATGCAAAAATTACTTTATCTCGAGTCACAAGACCAAGCGAAGACTTGCCCATACTTTGATGAAAGACCTATTTTTTCAAAAAAAATGTATAAAATAAAATGTTTTCAGTCTACATCCGTTGTTATGGAGGATGTCTGCAAGTGACAAAGTCATAATAAATATATAAAAATGCGTAATAAAATACCAAGTAAAATATGAAAAGTATGAACAGGTTGAGTTTACCGACTGGTATGAAGATAAACAAATGTTTTTTCAGCTGTATATACAGTTTACACGAACACAAATGATGACGAAATGAGTTGGAAAAATGAGATCTCTGCGACAAAGCGGGAAAAAACTGCAGTTAAATACACTTCTTTTCCCTACGAATGAAAACAGTTCCCCCGCGGTGAGATTTTCAAACTACTAGCTAGTTATTCTGTAGGTCATCTGGGCGACTCGAGTTCATCAAACACGTTAGAGTAGGACGATTTCAGGAAGGAAACGTAGTTCTGCATGCTCCGTGTTGTGCTGTTGGCCTGGTCTAGCCTGTCCCTCATGTCGTAAAGCTTCGAATTGTACCTCCGCTCCGCCTAAATTGACCAAAAAAACAACAATAGCCATGCCACGAGTCAACAGGCAAAAGAGACAGCTGACAACATACACATCCGATAGGCATGTCGTGTACTGAATACACGAATGTGCCAAACATCGCAGCAGAATGCCCCAAAGAGCAAATGTTTACCTTTTGCATGCATGGTAGAATAGGAAAAAATAATGACCTTGCTATAGCTACGATTCAGAAATGCCTTTTTCACATGTTCAACCACTTCTTCTGAATTTCAAAGCACATTTTTAACCTGACTCAAGCAAAGACAGGATTTTTTTTTTGCCAGCAAACAATTTCGAAACAATGACGCAATAAAAATATAATGCGGTTGGAGATTTTGATCAAAATAGACAACAATGTGCGAATACTGACTTGACTCAACCAAGGAAAGTGAGGTTCCTTTTTCAAAAAAGGTACAAAATGTGTAACGATAGTACAAATTGCAACAAGTACATGTAGAAGCCAAACGATGCAGATCTCCTCAAGCAAACAATTATCACTGATTTTCTCGACATGCTAATTGAAAATAGTGCCAGCTCACCTCGTCTTTACTTCTCTTAAGTTGTGCCGCTGACGCGGTAGCTCGGCTCAGCTGAGATTCCAGGTCTGTGATACGCGCTTGCGCAGCACGCTCCTGTCAAAAAAGAAAGTTTTTAAGACTTCACCTTCCTATTTGTTTTTCTTAATCTATGTCTGGTGATGCTTGTCTTGTGAATGGTTTAACTGCTTCTATTGTTGTCCTTCTGTTTGTCTCGTGGAAGTGAAGGTTCATTAATTAATGCGTAGACTGTTCACAGCCCTCTATTTTTTCGTATTTTTATTCAGTCGTTGAACGCGCGGATAGAATCGCGAGAGAACTGGACGCCAGCGCAAAACGGAAGACTTGTCTTCTTGCTCGTTTCGCTCGCATTTTCTTTCGCGTGCGCGTAAATAGAGAGGCTGTGAACGCTCTAATTAATGCGGGATTAATACTACCCATAACTAGTTCAGATTTGAATCAGTTACAAGAACGTAAAAGTTTACCACGAAACTAGTAGTTTTCAGATTCTTTGGATGAAAGTTGATTAGGTGGTAACGTTTTCAAAATCGGAAAATAGTTATTAAGTGAGAGAAGTTTACAAAACTTGTGTCCAGTCTCTTTGGGGCAGGACGTGGTCTAACTTTGATCATGTAATTAAAGTGCGCTTCGAATGGTTATGAACAGGCTCTCTGAGGCTTTGTATACACCGTTACACGGTTATGAGGCATCGTTAAAAAAAAAAATTCCTCTTGTTTTTTTTTCTCCATGTAAACATGTGGACATTTTGTCATTTCCACCTATTTTTGTTACAAATCCCTCAGCATCAAATCTCCACTGTCTCAGCGTCCTACTAACCTTGACTAGCGCCTTTTCCTTTTGACTATCCACCTGTCTTCTGGCTTCAAGTACAGATGACTCCAGCTGTTGGTTTAGTCGAATGTTTTCTGCTCGGAGGTCCTCTTGCCTTTGCTGTTAATTTATTCACACAAACACGTAGCTATTTCGTCAGTTTTGGCTTGTCACGCAGTGCTTACAAGCTCAGGGCTCGAAATTAACTTTTTCGTTCGGGAGGCAGCTGGCGCCTAACGGAAAAATTTAGGTCGCCAACTTATTTTATATAATTATAACTTACACAACAACACGATTTTATACGTTACTTTGCATGCAAGAAAAGTCACAATTGAAGAGCGAAAACAATTAAAACCAACACGAGTAACACTTAGTTATAAAGCTACTGTTGTTCTCAGGTGATATGTCTCTGGTCCGAAGGTGATGGTTGTCTCCATAGTCATTTTAAACGAAG